AGACAGGGTCTCATTATGTAGTTCAGACTGCTCTGGAACTCTCTGTATAGCCCAGGCTGGTCTCGAACTCACAGCGATCCTCCTGCCTCAGCCTCCTGTTTGATTTTTTTGTTCAGAGCACCAAGAACTTGGATAAAACACCAATTGTGTAACAAGTACACTCTATGATGTTTGTACAACCACACAGTCACGTTTATCTGAAAGGGTCCTAGGACTTGAGGTTGTACTCATGAAGTCTGTTTTCATCGCCTTTACTAGCATCTGGCTTTGTCTGCCCTTGGCACTTCCAAATTGGGCACCGATGGATAGTAAGTTCGCATTATGAAATCCAAATTCTTAAAACCCAGGAGTCTAGCCAGGAGTGGTGGCACACATCTGGAATCTCAGCACTCAGGAGGCTGAGGCAGGAGGATCGCTGTGAGTTCGAGACCAGCCTGGGCTACATAGTGAGTTCCAGGTCAGTCTCAACTACATAGTGAGACCCTGTCTCAAAAAGAAAAATAAATAAACAGGAATCTCTGAAATAGAAGGGTTTATTGGTTATACATGGCAGTCAGAAAAAGGACAAGGTCCTGGAAAAAAGTTTCCACTACCTATTCCCCCAGAGAGCCGCAACTGGTGCCCAACGTGGTTTACAGAGGTTACCGACTCCCGATCGGACGACAGAGAGACGACGAGTCCGGAGCCCGCCCTTCAGACACCAGCTAAGCCCCATCCGGATGGTGCAGGATTGGGTTTAGAACCAGGTGCATTTCCCCCCCCCCAGTACCAGGGATCAAACTCAGGACCCTGGGCTTGCCAGGCAGGCGCAGCGCTACTGAGCGGCATCCCTGGTCCAGAAAAGAGTACTTTTATAAAAATGGGGAGCCAGGTGTGGTGGTGCATTTCTAAAATCCTAGCAGTCTGGGAGGCGGAAGCAAGAGAATTGAATGTTCAAATCCAAACTGTGCATTTCCCCCCCCCCAGTACCAGGGATCAAACTCAGGACCCTGGGCTTGCCAGGCAGGCGCAGCGCTACTGAGCGGCATCCCTGGTCCAGAAAAGAGTACTTTTATAAAAATGGGGAGCCAGGTGTGGTGGTGCATTTCTAAAATCCTAGCAGTCTGGGAGGCGGAAGCAAGAGAATTGAATGTTCAAATCCAAACTGGACAACTTAGTGACTTAGCAAAACCCTGTCTCAAACTCTTTTTCAAAAGAAAATAAATAGATTTAAAACAATTGGGGAGAGGGGAGCATAAACTGTTTACATTGCACGTATACAGTCTGCAGATATGAGGGGGTGGGTTCATGCAAGGAGGTCAGACTTTGGGACAGGAAGAGCCCCGTGAGAAGTACTCATTGTTTCCTGATGGTTGGGGTTAACGGTCCAGAAAGTCTACCCGTAAACAGGGCGGTAGGGGGTTAAGTCCGGTGTCAACACACTTTCAGGAAAGTTGAGCAGTTTTGTGGATCCCACCCACAACTGCTAACTAATTAACTAATTAACTTCCCTCAACTCTTTCCTCCTCCGTCCTCTGGACCTTGTAATTAAATTCGGAATGTCTCAGAGCTTTTCTTTTATCAACATCACTAAATCTCCTAAAGAGAGGATTACCTGAGTCCAGCTGTTCCTTCAGCTCCCAAAACTTTAACTCCTCCAAAGCGTCCCCACAATGAGGCCGAAATGTTTTTGGTTCACATCTTTTTTTATTAGTGTATTTTGATTATACAGATGAATGCGTTTCATTTTGGCAGATTCATACCTGCCCAGAATATACTTTATTTCCATCCCCTTCCCTGAGGCAGAATTCCAAAGAAGTAAATGAGACCAATTGCTCATAATAACAGCATAGCATAAGAAGACAGTTTGAGCTGGGTGTGGTGGCACACTCCTGTAATCCCAGCACTCGGGAGGCTGAGGCAGGAGGATCGCTGTGAGTTTGAGACCACCCTGGGCTACACAGTGAGTTCCAGGTCAGTCTCAACTACATAGTGAGACCCTGTCTCAAACAAAACAAAACAAACAAACAAAAAGACGGTTTGGAGGAAGAAGGACCTATGTTAAGCTGTAAACAAACACAGCCAGGTGGGTCATCTGAACCTATAGACCCAGCTGCCCAGGAGGAACAGTGGGAGCATCAAGACTTCAAGACCAGACTGGGTACCACAGGGATACCTGAGTGAAAAAGCAAACAAATCCACACTGCATAAAAAGTGGGAACTTGAAAAATCTGATTGATACAGTTAGAATGATTGAATTCTAAGGAATAAAATCAGCCTGATAACATTGGCCAGGATTATAATTACGCTGGGAGTTTCCCCTGACTCTGTGCCTTTTTTCATGTGTGTCTATCCAGTTTGCAGTGCCAACAAAACAGTGAAGCACTAATTTTGAAACTCAAGAAGGATGCCTGAATTCGCAGCTGTAACCTTATGGTATGGCTTCACTCTAGAAAGGTATACAAGCAAGAACAAAGGCAAGCTCATTTTATTTATGTATTTATGATACCGGAGGTCGAACTCAGGACCTTGAGCTTTCGAGGCAGGCAGGGGCACCATTGAGCTCAATCCCCGGCCCCAAGGCAAGCTAATTTTAGGTGGGATGTTTTAGAAACAGGCTTAATTATAATTAAGTACTAAGCTGTGGAATCGTTGAATTTCTGCATTTGCTGTCCAAGCTTGAGTTCACATGGCTTAACAATGGGACACATCCTGAGAACCGTGTCGTCAGTGGTCCTGTTGCTGTGTGAACATCCTCAAGTGTGCTTTGTAAAGTTAAGGTGGGTGTGACATCACTACGTGGTATGATCTCATGGGACCATCATTGTGTATGTGGTCCATTATTGACCAAAAAATCTATGCGGCACGAAGACGCAGTTCACAATAATCTGGCCGGGGGTCATGGCGCACGCCTGTAATTCCAGCACCCGGGAGGCTGAGGCAGGAGGATTGCTGTGTGTTGGAGACCAGCCTGAACTACATTGCAAAACCCTGTCTCAAGAAGGAGGAGGAGGACGAGGAGACGGAGAAGGAGGAGGAGGAGGAGGAGAAACTGTGATAAACTTGTAATTGACGTGCAGAATATAATTCTGTAGGCCAAGCACAGAGCAATCTCTGACCCTCGCTCATCCCCAGGTAATCTTGCCAGCGCAGCTGGTGTGGGAGAGAGGGAGGTGCTGCCCTCTCCCCGTGCCCTGTTGCCTCCTCTGAGGTTCTGTCCCACACCTACCATGAATCTTTGCCGTAACCTCCTGACCAGTTTCCCCGCTCTGAGCATCTGCTGTGCTCAAGACGTGTTGTGTCCCGGACTCGGGACCATGCTATTCATTTCTTCCTCTAAAATGGTTAAGAGCTGCCCACTACCAAGAAAGCCCCAAATCTCCGGCACATCCTGAAGTTCTTTGGTGAACTGATCTTCAATTGCTTCGAACGCTCTGCCCCTTCCTTGTCCTCATCGCTGTGACTTTCTTTAGGTGTCACCTTTGCCTAGAATGTCCCCCTTCCATCTCCACTGCAAGGCTAAGCTCAAATGGGATCTTTTCTGGAGGACATGTTGGGACTTCCTAGTACAGTGCTCTTGCTTGAATATTCTATCTTCAGGGGGCCAGAACAGGTGATCGTTAAGAATTCAGGCCTTGCGTACAGATGGGTAAGGGTTCAGACCTTGGCGCCGGTCCTTCTTAGCTTCTGAAGCTCGACTCTCACATGTGTAAATGGGGGTCTGGGCATAATGATGAGCACAGAAAATATGAGCCATGCCTTCATGGGCCTGACAGCTACAGGGGAGAGTCAGATAGCACTATTTAATGTCAATAATGCTCAAAAAGAGACGTGGAGTTCTGTGTGAGCAGTTACCTAGAACACAGAGGAGATCACAAACTGGACACTGTGGAGGGAGGAACTGAAGGAAGAGTGTTCAGGTCAGAGGAAACAGCATGCTCAAAGGCTCTGTGGTAGAAAGAAGCAGCAAGGGAACATGGATAGACCCATATACTCCCCTCTTGATACCATGTGGCCTGGGAAAGGTAGAGACGCATTCAGGATTTTTTTAGGGAAAGAAAGACAGAAATCCAGGGGTGGTCACAGTACTCCAGACCCCTGACCCCCTTTTCCTGGTCCTCAGTCTTTAGGGCAGCTGCTCAGGCTCCCCTTGCTTACTCCGGCCCCTTTCCCACACCCTTGTGGCTGTCTCCTGGGTGTGGGTGTGACCACATCAGGGTTCACCTTTCCCGGGCTGCTTAACCTCACCTCTCAGGCAGGTCCAGGCAGGTCCAGGCAGGAGGCCACCTCCCGGCCCCAGCCAGGATCACCCAAGCCAGGCCCAGCGCGTTGGAGAGACTTACGGGGACCTATCTGGCGAAAATGCCCGCAATGTGGGGACAGAGCCAGCAGCTCCTCCTCCTCCTCAGCTAACTATCCACGGTGCAGATGCCATTTGCCCCGAGGCTCCTGCTGTCCACAGGTCACAGGGTTGAGCCAGGACTGCTGGCAGGGCACCAGGGACTCAGTAGAGATACAGCCGGAAGGCGGGAGAGAGGTACCACACCGTGTGGTCATGAGGGTGGATGCAGTCGTGTGGGGACAATGGCACCACAGCCCAGCTGCTCGGCTTTCAGGTCAGGAGGGAGGAGGAGAGGACCGTGGAAGAGGCGAGACCTTGGCCCCCAAATCACTGGCCCCCGGTGGTCAGAAATGAAATCCTCTATGCCCAGCACCAGCTGAGGTTGCAGGAGGTACGGTGGGCTGCTGCCTGCGAGGGACACAGCTACCCTGTGCTGGGCACAGTGACTGGGGGTGACCTGGACGGTGGAGCTTGGTAGCCAGGAAGCCACATCACAGTGCTGAGACCTGGCGAGGCTCTGAACTTCAGTTTCCTGATCCATAATTGGGAAGAATGATCGTGCCAACCTCCCAGGGATAGAGAGAACTTTTGCAAATAATCTGAAAACCTACAAAACCTTAGGAAAATGTGAAAGGACTTCTGCTGTCTCGAACAGCGATCTGCTTTGTTTAGTTCAAAATTAACAGACCCCGGAGGCGCTGACCACGAAGGGGGGCCCTCTGGCCTCATCCCCAGCCTTGAACAGCCCCTTCCTCTGCGCTAGAATAGAGCCAGAGGAATCTTAAGTGAACTCCCCAGCTACAAGGGTTAAAGTGAACCGTCTGGTTCCTGTAATTTGTATGTGGGTAATGTGAACCCAGGAAGTGAAATGTAACCTCCCGAATGAGACCAAGGCCGTGAAACCTTTAGAAGATGGAGCTGCAACCCAACAGGAGGTCGATCCCTGGCACTGCCTTTTTGAGTGTGATCGACCCTTGCTGGCACAATAAACTTTTTGTTATTTCACTCCATTCAGCGTCGTGTCCCCAGGTGCACTAATACAGCGTCCCACACAGAGCGACGAAAATGTATTCTCCTGAGATTCTGGAAGCTTGAAGTCCAAGCTAACGGGGCTGGCAGGGTGGGTTCCTTCCAAGAACACGGGGAAGAGTGCGTTCCGTGCCTTTCTGGTGGTTCTGACAGTTTGCCAGCTGTCTTTGGTGTCTCCTGAGGCCCTGTACAAGCATCGCCTCGAATTTCCTTTTCATCCCCCTCTGTGTGTCTGTGTCCAAACTGCCCCTGTGTTAAGGACAAACCGGGATGGGACCCATCTTACTCCAGCAGGACCTTATCTTTCTTAAAAACATCCACGGTACCTCTATTTCCAACCCAAAGGAACATTTTGAGCAAGTGTAATACCCGAATTCTGAAATGCACGCTTGTCATTCCAGCTACTTGAGGTTAAAACTGGGGGAGATTGCGAGTTCAAGGCTAGCCCGGAGCAACAGGGTGAGACTGTCTCCAAAAGCAAAGACAAAAACAGGTCTTCCCTAAGCATAAACCAGATTTGAAAACGTGGTATGAAGGAGAGGAGAAGATGACAATCTCACTATGAACTAATTATCGGCAAGGTGACCTATCTCATTTGTTAAGCATTTGATCACGAGTTGAAATGACAACATTCTGGACATGTTAGATATGATGTTTTTACATACCTGGCATCTACTGGACAGCAGTGGACTAATATTTACAAGCCCTCAGAGCAGGGCCTGGTAAGTAGAAAGCACCTGTAAGTGCTTGTGAAATAAAGCATTCTCTTCGTGGCTGACTCATTACCTGTGGCATTTTTAAATACGACTTTTCCTTCTCTTCAGAGACTGGAAAAAGTTGGGAGAAATTTCTTCTCTTGCCTGGCCCCTTTTCACTGAATGAGTTCCATTTTATTCTCCAGAAGTATACGGCACATATTATGTGGTTCCATGCTTTTTAATTTGTTTTGTGGCATTTTTTCCACGTTATTATAAACTCTTTACGAGCCACATTAAGCAGCATACGTTCCTTAAAAATGATTTCAAAGGGCTGGGGATGTAGCTCAGTGGTCCCGCCGTTGCCTGCCTTGCTAGCACAAGGTCCTGAGTTCAATCACAAACAACTTTAAACTTAAGATATTTTCTCTCAGAGCTGGGTGTGGCGCACTCCTATGATCCCCGCACCCTGGGAGACTGAGGCGGGAGGATTGCAGTTCAAGCCCAGTTTGGGCAATTTAACGATTTAGTGAGACTCTGTCTCAAAATTAAACTAAAAAGGGCTGGAGTGAGCTCAATGTGAAGACCCTGGGTTCGATGTCCAGTACCAACAAAATGTTTCATTTTCTATCAGGATTATCACCAGGCGAAGTGGTAAAATGCTAAAGGGTCCTGATACATATTGTCAAGTAATTTTCTAGCAGAACAGTTTCTGTGCTTGCCAGCAACGTATGTCTTTATTTCACCAGGTTCTAACTAATTTTATTATTTTAACTAATTCATTTTGGGGACAGGGTCTTGCTATGCTACCCAGGCTAGCCTTCAACTTTCGACCCTCCTGCCTCAGCCTCCTTTAGCACCTGAGTGCTGACATTATGGGCATGTGCCACCCCACCCAGCTATTGATGTTTTTTTAAAAGCTTGTGTGTATGTTTTGTTTGGGGGGTTGTTGTTTGTTTTCTGATTTTTCAGAGAAATAAAGTATCTCTTTGTTTGAGTACACATTTATTTGATGGTACTGGACACTGGGTATTTATCAACTTTATAAGTGTACCAGTGCATTTTCTTTTCTGAGAATTAACGCTTGCAATCCTTTTTCTATTTGTTTCTTTGTGACTTCGTATTTTTCTTATAATGTTACCTGAGTTCTTTATCCACATTTTATTTTCCCCAAATTCATATCAACAAATATACACAATGTCAATCCTGTTTCTTGCTTAGCAGGTTGATGCATTTTTATTTATTTAATTAGTGGATTTGTGTATTTTTATGCAATCAAATCAAACCCTGTGTGGTTTCTGTTATTGCTTTTAAGTGTAGATCTCACCTTTCTGGAGATGTGATGTCACTTTGATTTTTTTTAGAAAATTTTTTGTTTGTTTTTTGAGACAGGGTCTCACTATGTAGTTGAGACTGACCTGGAACTCACTATGTAGCCCAGGTTGGTCTCGAACTCACAGCAATCCTCCTGCCTCAGGAGTGCTGGGATTACAGGCACACGCCACTGTGCCTAGCTCTTTTAGAAATTTTTGGTGATTTCTTTTCTTCTTTTCTTTCCTTTTTTGTTTGTTTGTGTGAAACAGAGTCTCACTATGTAGTCCAGGCTGGCCTTGAAATTGAGGTAATTGTCCTGTCTCAGCCTCCCAAGTGTTGGGATTACAGAAACCTACCACCACACTGGGCTTTGGCTTCCTCTCTCTCTCTCTCTCTCTCTCTCTGCTTTCTTCCTGTATGGGAATTGAGCCCAGGGCCTTTACACTGAGCTACATCCCCAGCCCTATTATACTTTTAATTTTGAGGCAGGGTTTCACTAAACTGTTAGATTGACCAGGTTGTGCTGGAACTTTTGATCCTCCTGCCTCAGCCTCCCAAGTACTAGGACCATGGATGAGTACCACCACACCCAGCTTACATTTTTAAAAAGTAAAAAGAAAAGGGAGCTGGGGATTTAGCTCAGGGGTTCCACTGCCTGCCTCACAAGTGCAAGGTCCCAAGTTCGATCCCTGGTACCAAAAAAATAAATAAATAAATAAAGTAAAAAGAAAAGGCAGAGCAGAGAGTACTTGTGGGATAGTGAGACTATTCCATCTGATGCTGCGGCAGTGGACATACGTCACTACACAGTGGTCAAAACCCACAGAATGGACTGGATATGGTGGTGCACACGTGTAATTCTGGTACTTGGGAGGCTGAGGCAGGAGGATCGTTGTGAATTCGAGGCTAGCTTGGGCTACATAGTGAGACCCTGTCTCAAAACAACCCCCTACCCCTGCAAAAACAAACAAACAAACAAAAAACACAGAATGCAAGAGTGAACCCTAACATAAAGCATGGCTTTGGGGTGACAAGACTGTCAGCAGAGCCCACTGATGGTAACGGATGTCCCACACTCGTACCCGAGGTGGAGTATGTGGTGGACGCTGGATACATGGGAAAAGTCTGCACTTCGTGCTTTCTCAGAGAAAAGAAAGCTTTGAGCGTAAAACTTCCTTAAAATATAAAATGTGCCCATTTCCTTTAAATTTAAAGCTATGAGAGATGCATGACCTCAACGTTAATAATAGACTTTTATCTCAATATGTCCCAAAGTACCACCCCAGCAGGTAGCTACAACAGAAAAACAGGTGAGTGAGACGTTTTCTCCTTAGGTCACAGCACTTGGGTTTGCGTGCTACGCTCACAGCGCATCTCCGCGCGAACCAGCGAGCGACGTTGTCTGCAGGGCCCAGGGCTGCGGCCTTGGGGCCGAGCCCGACCCCGTGGA